TTTAAAATCACATTTATAATACTTCCTCCACACTCTAAGCAAAGAGATTCTTATAATATGAGACTTAAAAACCCAATCCACTTTTTTATTAAATATTAAATAGGCATGCCATCCAAAAAGTAAGTCCCAACCTTCCAAATGAAGTATTTCTATATTTGTTAAATTCACCCAATCGCTAATCAATGTTAATACTACAGCATCATAATACAATTTCATATTTGGTACCTTGAGTCCGCCTCTCTCACGAAAATCTTGCATTATTTTAAGTTTCACCCTTGGTTTTTTCCCTGCCCAAACAAATTTATTAATACCTTTTTGCCATTCATCTAAATTACGTTCACTCTTTAAAATAGGTAACATTTGAAACAGAAAAATAAACTTTGGCAGGACATTCATTTTAATAACTGCAATTCTACCCATAAGGGATAACTGTAAATTGTTCCAATTTTTTAAATCCTTCTGTACCTCCGTCCACAGCTTTTCATAATTATTTTTATACAATTTTGCATTGGAAGCAGATAATATAACCCCCAAATATTTTACCTTATCAACAATTTCAAAGTCTGTTAACTTAACTAGAACCTGTTTATCACCATTAGTCATATTTTTAGCTAATATTTTAGTCTTATTATTATTAATTTTAAAACCAGAAACACGTCCATATTGTTGGATCAATTGTAATAATTTTACCACCGAACAAGTAGGTTGAGACAAAGTAACAACCAAGTCATCTGCAAAGGCTCTTAATTTATATTCTTTTTTATTAATTTCTATTCCTTTTATTTCTTGAGACTCCCGAATTTTAATCAACAAAATTTCCAATGTTAAAACGAACAATAACGGAGATAACGGGCATCCCTGTCTTGTACCTTTTTCTATTACAAAAGCCTCTGACAAACCCCCATTTACAATAAGTTGAGCAGTCTGTTTTTGATATATATTAGATAATACTTGTAATATATTTTGTCCAAAATTCATCTCCTTAATTAAACATAACATAAACTGCCAATTCACTTGGTCAAAGGCTTTTTCAGCATCCAAAAATATCAGGCCTGCAGAGACTTGGTTATTCTTTTCTAAATACTCTAATAAGTTAATGATTTGTCTGACATTATTTTTCATATACCTTCCAGTTATAAAACCCGATTGATCCTTATGTATAAGCTGCTGCAAGATCCCCATAAGCCTGTTGGCTAAAATTTTTGCAAAAATTTTATAATCCACATTTAAAAGAGATATAGGCCTATAATTTTTAGGCAATGTAAGATCTTGATTGTCTTTTGGAATCAGTGATATAAATGCATTACGCCAAGATGGAGGGATCTCTAACCCCTGTAATAAGTTATTAAACAATTCACACAACGGTTGAGTCATCTCTTCTACTAGAGTTTTATAATAAATAGATGTCAACCCATCCGTACCCGGCGCTTTGCCCAATTTCAATTGTTTAATAGCTGTAACAATTTCTTCCTTAGTAATTAAACCATTAATCTCTTTTTCCTGATCTTCTGTTAATTTAGGAAAATTAACTTTACCTAAATAATTGTTTATATCTGTAGTTTGAATATTAGTACTCTTGTATAATTTTTGGTAGTATTCTAAAAAAGATTTCTTAATCAATTCTTTCTGATAAACCAATTTACCATTATAATTTATTTTATCTATATTCCTCTGTTTCTGTTTCTTTCTTAACTGATAAGCCAACCATCTCCCTGGTTTATTAGCATTACAAAATGTATTTTGTTTCATAAATAGTAAATTGGTTGCAGCTTGATCAGCCATCAACATGTTAAATTGTGTTTTTAACAGTTTTATAGCTCCTTTCACCTTTTCATCTAAAGGATTTGAAATTAGGAGTTTCTCTTTTAATTTAATCTCCTCTTCTAAATCTTTACGTTTCTGAATCTGTTTCTGTCTATGCAAGTTATTCATTTTTATTAAAATACCGCGCATAAAAGCTTTACTTGCATCCCACACCATTGACATTGATGTTCCCTTATTCATATTTAAAGCAAAATATTCCTTTAAACATTCCTTTAGTTTGTGGACATTTTTTTCTTGTTTAAATAAATTCTCATTCACCCTCCAGGATCTCCTGTCTTCTTTCTCAGCAAACAGTTCCATCCAAACTGGACTATGATCAGACAATGTCCTAGGAAAAATTTTTACATTCTTCACCCTGTTGTATAAATCTGTTGTAATCAAAAAAAAATCAATTCTTGAGAAAGATTGGTGTCTATCTGAGAAGAAGGTAAAGTCCCTTTCTTCTTGGTTACGTTCACGCCAATAGTCTCTCAATTCCCAATCTTCTTTCATGTCAAAGAAGGCTTTAGGTAGTTTAGCCTGTTTAAAAAAAGTAGAAGAGCCTTTTTTGTCCTTTTGTATATCTAAGACACCATTCCAGTCTCCCATTAAAATCACAGATCTATAGTCCAACAAGGTTATTTTCTGATGTAGCAACCTGTAGAATTGCTCCTGTTGCTGGTTTGGTGCATACAGCCCCACAATAAGAATTTTCTTGCCATATAAACCAAGTTCAAGCATAACATATCTTCCATGAGGATCTGATTCTAACAGGATAGCAGATAAATTCTGCTTAACATAAATTACCACACCCCCTTTCTTCCCAGGGGCGGGAGATACAAAATGAGATCCCAAACGAGGATTGTTTAAGTATTTTTGGTCTTTAGATGTAATATGAGTTTCTTGCAAACAGATAATATCATTGTTGTGTTGCTTTAAATAATGGTAGATTTTTTTTCTCTTTTGAGGAATATTTAATCCATTAACATTCCAGGTCAGGAGCTTTGCCATCTCCCTTGGCCTTGAGCCTGGAGAAGATCCCCTCAAATTCTGCTACTGAAGAGTATGTTGCAGAGCTTTTGGGTCTTGCTCCTCCCACCGGCATTGAGACAATTTGCTGAGTAGATTCTTTAATTTCTTTTTCTTTTTTCTGTTGTTCTTTTTCTTTGCGTTTATGTGCTGCACGGGTCATTCTCTGTTCTTTAACCTCTGCTTGGGACATCCATACCACCTGTCCAGCAGTCATCGCACCTGTACCTTCAGGTTTCTGTTCCATCTCTTTATCACTCAAGACTTTGTGCATCATGGGCAGAGGTGAGCCTGCACCCAGGACCGTTTTGTAAAAATCCTTAGCTTTAGCAACTGTATTAAGTCTATAACGTGTCCCCGCATGGCTCAGGACAATACCCATCGGAATCTCCCATCTAAATGGCATCAGTCTTGCTTTAAGTTCATTTGCTAAAAAAGCAAAATCTTTTCTGCTTCTTAAAATTTTAGGTGGAATTTCCTTTAATATAATAATATCTTGGGCAGCAATCTGGAATCTTTTGTTGTAGAAAATTTGCAGAATCTGATTTCGCAAAGACTTCTTAGCAAAATATATCACCACATCTCTAGGCAGATTCTTCTGTTTTGCAATCCAAGAATTAACTCTATAAATTCTTTCCACTTCCCCACGTAACTCATCTTTATCTATGTTCAAAATAACAGCCAAGTCATTAATCACCATTTCCATCAAGTCTTGGGTTTTATCTTCTTTCAGGCCTCTTATTCTCAAAGCATATTCCATCTGTCTATACTGGAACATAAGAATATCATCTTGTGAAGTTTCCACTTTTTTCTCCATATCTTGGAATTTATAATCCAAAAGTTCTACTGTTTCTTCAATTTCCTCCACTCTAGAATCCAGCTTCACGACCACTGAGGCCACTCCAGATAAAGCTAAAAGTATATCATCCCTCAAAATAGTATTATTCTGTTCTAAAAGTTCCTTCATCTCTTGCTTCATTTCTTCCTTACTTTCAGATTTATTCTGTTCCAACAGTTGCTTCATTTCCTCCCTAAACTGTGACACAGCATTTACCATTATTTCTTTAATGTCTTGTGCTGATGTACCAGATGGGGGAGGTGAAGGTGGAGTAGTTTTAGGTTGCTGCACTGAGGGTATTATTTTAAGTTGTTGTTGCCCAGTAGAAGTAGCAGGAGAAGAGATTACCTTAGGAGCTGTAGTAGCTGGTTGTCGTTTTGAAGCCATTTTAATTTATCTTCCTTTCTTCATAAAAATACCAGTAAAAAATAAAAAATCCAAAAGATTAAAAATAAAGTAAAATAGAATAAAATAGAATCAATTTAGAAAACTCCCAGAAGATAAAAAAAAAAACTTAAAAAAGAAAGCAGTATTAAGCAATAATTCAGCCAGTCCGTCTTTCAAAGGAAAAAAAAAACTTTCAAAACGCCATTTTACTTTCACTCTCACTTTTCCGCCCGCGAGAAAAAAAAGAAAGCTCAAAAGATAAAAAAATCAGCACATACTAAATAAACTAAGTAAACTAAAAAAAAAATAAAATAAAGCTAAACTATAAATAAAGTCCTTTAAACAGTTCTGTCCGGTTTAAAATTACTCACGGTTACTTTAAATACGGAGATGGTAGCGGCGTTTCGCTTTGTTTCCGAAGAAACAAAGACAGCTGAGAGGCGGAGAAGGCAATGAACTCCGAGGGAGCACTCTTTCTACCCCCCTAAAATAAAAATCCAGGGAAGGTTAAGAGGTTCTACCTCTATTCATGCGATCTCTACCCCTTCCCTTCGCCCGGGAAGAGGATTGCGAGCCGCGGGCCAGCTGATGAACGCTGTGCTCCGCGGATCTAACACCGTCTCAGGAGGACGGCTACAAAGTAGCCGCCATCTCCACCGCCTTAACCACCGGAAGTCCAACTCCAGGCCAAGATTGTTAAGGTGATTTTACACATGTTATTTTGGATTGGCCCTTTCCTATTTAAATTTGCCTCACTGTTTGGCTTGTGGTGCAACAGGAAATGAACAAACACAATTAAAATCTCTTGGAGTTTTCTTTCATCCTGGATTTTTTATGCTGCCCAACCTTCAGTTATTCACCTTCAGTTGATAATGTCTGTGAAGTTGTAATCTTGAGTTGAAGACAATTGCATGCTAACTCATTTTTAATGCTTTTTTTGCAGTTTTCAAGAAAGTGGGATCAATAGCTGATAAATTTAACTCAACTCAGACATATTATGAAAAGACGATTGTGTCAGTGCAAAAGAATCTTCAGGAACTAGGTAAGAGCGATGTTGCCACGTTGGTGTTTTCATCCAAAACACAGGAATGTTATATTCTAATTACTTCCATTTGTTTTAGTTCCCATATTGATATCATACATGTTTCAGTTCCCACAGGGGGTTGACATTGATATCTCCTGTATGCAAGGCAAGACAAGACTCCTTTTGTATTGCAAACTAGAGAACCTCTGATCCTTCAGATGATGCTAAATTAACAACTTCCAGCATCTCCCATAACTGATTTGGCTGGCAGTTGTATTTAGATTGGGGACCATTGTGGTTATGGAGAGGATTGATTGATTGGGGTAGATTCTTAGCAACCATATAGATAAATTTTCTTCATCGTAATCTGTGCCTAACTGGTCCTTCTGATCTTCCAACAGTGTACTCATTGCAATTGTGGTTGAGTCCATGCACCTTGCTGGTAGGCTTCTTCCATCATAGCATCTGAATATCTTTTCCAAGGCATTTGTGACTGCTCTACCAAGAGCTAGTCTGCAGCTTGTTTCTTGGCTGTTCCTTTACTGTTGATGGTTGATCTTAAAACGCAGAAGTTATCTACCACTTCAGTATGGACAAAGGAATAAGTTTTCTCTTATTTTCTCTTTCAAAACAATGATTTTCATTGGATGGGGAGTTGTGTCTGTCTAGCTTCAGAGAAACTGTCTTTTCATGCCAGCAGCTGGGAGTTTAAAACTTAAACACCTTTCCATCTGCTATAATTCCCAGATCAGGTACAGAAGCTAGTCAGGATCGTTGGGTTGTTTTCCATTCTTTTATTCCCCTTATGTGTTGATAAGAAAACAGAAGAACCTGTTAAAACAAAGGAATACGCAAAAGGTACAAAAAATTGTCCCAAAGGTGCTTTTTCAAGAGGCAACTGGACTTCGGGGTGAGTGAGTGGGTGTGAGCCAGGGAGGTAAAGAATAACAAGAAAGTCCAGTTGCATCTTGAAAAAGCATCTTTGGGACAACCATGACCTGGATGACTAAAAATCTCCATAGACATTTGGTACAAAAGATTGCAAATAAAGCTGCTTCTTTAAATTAACCTAAAAAATTAGCTGTTGCTGAGACAGACTGCTTGCCTACATATATCTTTTCTCTCTTTTTCTTTTTCTTTTAATCTAGTCATAAACATTCTGTAGAATTTCATGGATTTTACCTCTCTGGCTCACCCCACCCCCACCCCGCCTTGTTATCTCCACCTAGTTTTGTTCCCCCTTTTCTTCTCTTTCCAGTGTAATTACATTTTTCTCTCATTCTCTTGCACCCTCTTTCTTTTTTTCTTTCTTGCTGTTTCTGCTGGAGGAAGGGATTGTGCATGAATTATGTTTCTATGATGATTGTTTCGTTGATGTTTGTGAGACTGGATGGTATATGAGGATTGTGGATCAACTGAAATAACTTATTTACACACAACTGGTTTTAACTAGTAGTTATTAGTCTCTGCTGCTGTTCTGGCCTTCCCATTATGAGGATTACAACTTCTCATGAGATATATATCCATGCATACACAACTATATCACTTGGACACAATTAGTTTCCAATTGGCGTAGGTATCTTATATAAGAAAACTGGGATCAGACAATATTGTTAAGATTTTTTACTCTTCCTTTGGAGGGTTCATTTTGAAATTTGGAGTCATATACGATAACATGCTGGTTGGCTATGTATAGGAAAAAATCATTCAGTTAGTAAGCTTCTGCATATCTTTGGCATTACATTGAATAATTGGATTTATGTATTATTGACTCATATAGCTTTGGGATAAGTTAAAATATTTAAGGAACAATTTAGAAACATGGTGGCTAGAACTTGTTTTCCATTTATTCAACAACATTTTGGTAATTGAAGTTCAAATAAGACTAGATGTCAAAGACCTGTGATCCATTTCTCATTTCTTAGGTATTAGCAGATTACAATGATAGGAAAAACAAGATCCAGATCAGGACCTTGTAGCAACAAATTAAGCAGTGCCACCAGTGCCTCCAGTATTTTGTATGCTGGGTCAGCCATCTCCAACCTACTGTTTCCAGCTGTGTTTAACAACAGCTTATATCATCCTCAGGTGTCAAGGACTAAGCTTCCTGGACTGATGTGATTTGCAGATAATCACATTGGGAAGCTATTCAGTATCACTTTAGCTTAAATTCTGCAACAAGGGAAACTGGATTCTGTAACATGTATTTATTTTTATGCAGGTACGTTATTTTCCTAATATGTTCTTCATAATTTAGTGATGGGAAGAAATTGTAATCACTTACTGCTTAAACTTCCGCATTAAAACAGTATTATCAACTAAACTGATATGCTTCTGCTCCTTCATTCAGATCAGAAATCAATGGACAACAGCTCTTTGTGTCATGACACAGGGCAACTTGGACAGGAGATTAGCAAATTGCAAAAAGAGCTGGAGGAGATTCAGAAGAAGCTCTTGGCCCAAGATGTATTACTTGATCGAGCTGGACAAGCCCATCAGCAGCTTTCATCTTCCAGCAGCAAGATCACTGATGAAGTGGATAGATGTTTCTCTGCTGTTCAGCAAGCCAACCAGAGTTTGAGCCTCTTTCTGGCTCAAGTGATGGGCTGGCAGGCTTCCACTTCTCAGCTAGGCAGCTCACTCAAGGAGCTAACACAAGAACATTTTGATGTTGAAATTGCTATGCAGCAAATAAACTTTACCAGTAGGCAGACCTCAGACTGGATCCAGATCATCCAAAGGAAGACAAATGAGGAGACCCTGACACTACAGAAGATTGTGACTGAGTGGCAGAACTACACCCGCCTGTTTGGCAGCTTGAGGGCCACCTCTTCCAAAACAGCTGACCTGGTCAAGAATGTTCAAACTAATTTAGGTATTGCCTCGCAAAGGATCAGCCAGAACTCAGAGAGTATGCATGAACTCATACTCCAAGTAACAAGTTTACAGTTGCAGCTGGACAATATCTCCTCTTTCTTGGATGACCATGAGGAGAACATGCATGACTTTCAGTACCATACTCAATACATGCAAAACCGGACAGCTGAGCACTTTCAGACTTTAGAAGGCCGTATGTCATCCCATGAGATTGAGATCAGCACAATCTTTACCAACATCAATGCCACTGATAACCATGTCCACAGCATGCTCAAGTACCTGGATGATGTGCGACTCTCTTGCACACTGGGCTTCCACACACATGCTGAAGAGCTTTACTACCTGAACAAATCAGTCAGCCTCATGATAAGCACCACAGATCTTCTGCGAGAACATTTTAGCCTGCTCAATGCCCAGTTAAACTTTAACATTCGCAACCTTTCAATGGTCATGGAAGAGATGAAAGCTGTTGATATCCATCATGGGGAGATCCTGAGGAACATCACCATTATACAAGGTAAAGAAATGGCAGGATTGGTTTTCCAGGTGAATATCTCCCAAATAAAAAGATCCTAATGTAGAATCATTTCATCTGTTTAATGGAACTGTGAATATGTGGGAGAGTCTATTAATAATTTCTTAGAAATATATTTTTCTGAATAAAAAACCTCATAAACTAAAAGACAGAGTATCTTTGAGCTTATCTGGGAAAGCATACAAATACAAAGACTACAGAAGCTTTCAATTTAAAAAGCAAGCAAACAAATAGGGTACACAAAATGACTAATCTGTCAGTTACTTTCCTGATTATGTAAAACATTTTCCATGTAATGAGTTACAATTTTGATGTGAATTACTGAAGAGAGCAGGAGGCAAAAGTTAAAGAGGAAGTTATTCAAAATGATTTTTTTTCTCCCTCACAAATTTGGATATTTTTTTCCAGAAAAACACATGTCTACACAAATTATCTCTCCATGGTCTAATAAACAAGCTATAATAATAATAACAACAACAACAACAACGTTGGAAGGGACCTTGTAGGTCATCTAGTCCAACCCCCTGCTCAGGGGGTACCATTTCAGATAAATGGCTGTCCAGTCTCTTCTTAAAAACTTCCAGTGTTGGAGCATTCACCACTATATACGCTTTGGTTTGTATATAATGCTACATTACAATAAATGGATCTTACAGCTTTATAAGTGAGAAGCAGTAAATCATCTTACGGCATGATGTGATGTCTGCACCCTACTAACACATTAGATCTCTATCAGACCTGGCTGCATTCATTTGCAAGTAAGCGTTGGATTCACACATTGGGTTAAGCATTAAATTAATTTATTTGGTCTTTTAATTTAGGGCAACGTATGAATACAATCTTTTTGATCTGTAAGTCATAGTTTATGGCTTAGCGTTATGTATTAGTCAAGCATCTTGCCCAATTCAGTATAACAAAGTAAAAACAAACTATAGCTTATTGCAATTTGTGAGTCCATCTCTTGTGATTGATCACAATGGAGCAAATTCTATGCCCTTTTACTTGGAAATAAGCCCTAGAAAACTCAATAGAATATTTCTAAACACACATGCATAGAACTAAATACTCCCCCGTGTCAATACAGTTGAGAAAGAAAAACCCTGCATGGAACAAGAGATGTTATTTGCCACAAAACTGGTATTCAGTTTTGAGCGGAAGAGTCACCACTTCCTTTTAGAAGTGAATATGAGAGACAGAAAGAGAAAATCATCATTCCATTATCTCCCAGACTAGTGGTTTTCCTTCCTCTGAATGCTGACCTCATAAACCCAGGTAATCCGGTGTGCCTGGATTTTGACAAATAGCCTTGATTCTCTCAATGCTGCTCCAGAGGCTTATTGGTCACCTTTACAGAATAGAAAAGTGCACTGTTAACTTTTACTTCCTGTACTTTTTAATTAGTTAATTAGGTTATGTCCTACCTAGAATATATAAAGAAAAGCTCTTCATACCTTGTAAGTTTCTTTACATCTATGTGGAAATACTGGCTTTGTCAGTTTCTGGCCACTTTTTTAAAAAGGCATCATATGAATTCCCTCATCAAAACAGGAGGTCAATAGGCATTTATTTGCAGTTCCAGGTCTCCAACTTAGAATTAAACAATAAATGAGCATAGATGTATTGTCACAGCAGTAAGAGAGCACTGCTGCTTATGCCATTTTAATGTAATACACAATTACATCAGTCTACCACCTGCCTGTCAAATGCATTACCTGGGATGAAAGAAAACAAGAATTTGAATTTTGGAAAGATGCTTCTCAGATGAGTAATTGAAGCTAGGCAGCAGGAATTATGTGTCTGCAGCAAGCAAGGAAACTTTGTCATCCATTGAGACTTACAATATCAAAACTGAGTATCAAGTTATCATATAATAATGGGATTGAATGTCCTTCCCTCTCTCTTTTACCTTAAAACATCAATTTTAGAAAGGAAACAATCTTACTATCCTAATTATTTTAAAAAAACTGTTTTTAAAAAAACTTGTATTCTCCAGTGGATAATACATGACTGTTACAAACCCCATGACTTTCAGAGAGGAAAAACTTGCATAAAATTACTCCAACCTTCTGTCCCCCACTCTCCAAAAGCTATAAGAACTACCTAAACATTTTCAGAATGCAGATGTTTTTCCTCTCTGCAGGGGTTTTCCACATTTTTATGCTTCTGGATATTTTGGGCTTACAACTCTAGTTATGTGCAAGGAGTACAGCTGTTGTTTATAGTACTAATGTTGCTTTTACTGCTCTGTCCCAGAATTTCAAATCAAAACTTTGTTCAATCCTGTTTTCTGCAGTTATGCTGGGGAACTTCAGTTAGAAACACTTTTTGAATTTAAAAATGCACTTGGAATAAACTACATACTTATGAAATACTCACTTTTCAGAATATTGTATTATGGACATATGTACAAACAAGTATTATAGCCTACAAAATTACACATATTAGAAAAGGCACAAAACTGTTATTTTAGAGGGAAACGTATACAAAATACGTGCTTTAAGAAAAATGCACAAAATGCATATGACATGTTGTAATTATTACATTTGCAAACTGGGAAAAAACATGCCAAAACAAACATGAAATTGCAAAAGCAAGCAAATCCAAAATGCCTTAGTGCACTTGATATGTCTTGGGCCTAAGTCAGGCTATTTTGTGTCTCGGGCAGGATGAAGTAATGGTGCTTCCACAAAAACAGTGTGGTCCAAAATATGTCCTGAAGCTACAGAGGATTATAGGATGGCAAAAGAGTTTATGTGAGCCCACCCAATGCACATTTCTGTCCATTGCTCATTTCTTAAACAAGCTCTTAAGCTGCTGTCCCAAAGGTGCTTTTGCAAAAGGCAACTGGACTTTTTTTGTTTTTCCTTGAAGACCTTTCACTTCTCATCCAAGAAGCTTCTTCAGTTTTTAAGCTGCTCTTCTAATCAATTCATGTCCATTTCATCAAGTCAGGAATTATACCAGGCACTACTAAGCACATTAAGGGTGGTACTCCAAAATAATTGTGCCCAAAACTCCAAAAGATTTGGGGGGAGGTTGGAAAGTTTTAAGGGATGAAATGGGTACCTTTCAACCAGGTTTAAACCCTTCAACCAGGCTGGGGTTTTTTTTCTCTTAAAATTCCTCAAAAATCCTACACTGAAAAAATGGGATAAATACTTACTTTGCCCACTCTTGGAGGATTTGGATCCATAAAGGGGTTCTGGGAGGCCATGTGGGGCCCACTGTCTGTGCTTGTGGCACCCTGGGCTACAGCATCCTTACTTGAGGATCCTTAGGGTCATCAAGGCAGATTGTTTTTTTTGGTGTCATCTTCTACAGATTACCATTGAATCAGAAGATGCCATTTTTGCTTCTTTCCTGGGCTTTATCCACCATTATTTTTACTGAAATGATTGTATAATGTGTAATAGTTTTATTTTGCATACTATTCGGGATGATTTTTATAATGAACAATGTAAACCTGTTTTTAAAAAAACAAAAAAAAAAGGTATTGCTGCCCATTTGCTTAGTCTTTCCTTGCCTGTTCTCTTTCTCCAGGTGTTCCTGGCCCTCCTGGCCCCAGGGGATTCAGAGGAGATCTTGGCATTAAAGGGCCACCTGGAAGCAGAGGAGTAAAGGGTGACATGGGGAGTCTGGGCCTTCCTGGGCCAAAAGGCTCCTTGGGCCCTCCCGGACCTCCTGGACCTCAAGGCGAGAGAGGCACTGTGGGCACCAAAGGCCCCACTGGATTCAAAGGAAGCAAGGGTAGCTTTGGACAAGGAGGTTCCAAGGGGCGGGCAGGCCCCAAAGGGGACCCTGGATCTCCAGGGCCTGAGGGGGCCATTGGTCCACCTGGCCCATCTGGCCCACAGGGGAAACCAGGCATCCCAGGCAAACTCGGGCCCCCTGGTCCTTTAGGGCCAAAGGGCCGAAAAGGAGATCCTGGTTTACGAGGTTCACGTGGATTTCCAGGCCCTCCAGGCCCCCCAGGATTGTAAAAACTCCCTTTTCCCTCCCAAAAAAAGTTTTAATGTGGACAACTGGAAAAAAAAACTCTTCACTGCAGATACCTATCTACCCAGGAAGGCATCAAGATAATGGGGAATGGATGGTGTCATTTATTCTGGACTGTCAAGCTCTGTTTCCAGCAGCTAGGGGGTAGTTTGAAAAATTGCTTCAAGTCACTGAATTTCCTTAATTTTGGGAACTCCAAAGGTAAAGAATTGCAGGTCCCACCACCTCAAGCACCTTCTTCATCTCTCCGTTAACATAGTGAATCAATCAGTCAAGGTTGGCATTTGAAAGATCACCTTTTGATAATGGCCTTCTCTGCTATTATTGCCCTTTTTAACGGAAACATTATGATTTTTATATGCTCAGGTGCCAATATGAGAATATGTCTGTCTGTCTGTATGTGTGTGTACCCACACAAACACAGAGAGAGAGAGAGAGAGAGAGAGACCCATTCTCTATATGCCACTGCTCTGACCTTACAGAGCCTGACATACGGATTAGCAGCTGGGGAAACTTCCTTTCTTTTTCTTAGTCCCGCAGCAAGTGACACATCCCCAATGTCCTGTGATGGCTGCCAATGGCTAAGGAAGACCTCAAAACAGAACAAGTTACTGAACTATGCAGTATTCATGAGAGCAGAGACCTATCCCCACTGCTGTCAGATGAGCACCATAAAGGGTGGGCTATACACAGCACAATGGCCCAGCTCAGGTTTGCAGTCAGAAATACCGTCTGACCTCAGCTCTCCAGCCAGAAGACAGAAAAATTGGGAAAAATCTCCCACATTGTAAAAAATAAATAAATAGACTAGAAAGCTGGGAGAAAACCTCCCATATTGTAAAAACAAAAATGCTAAATGGACTAGATAACACAAGATTAGGTGGATCAAAGAACTAAATAAAATAGGATAAGGCTTGTCACAGCTTATAGATTTTCGATAGTTAGGTTGTGATCTTTAAGATGGTGTGATAATGGCTGAAACTGTGTTCTATTAGAGCAGATTTTTTTGTACATGATCTAGCCAAATATTGCATGCTCTAACCAGAAGTGGATCTACACACAAAGATTAGTCTTTTCCATTACATGCTACCTGATTCATTACTCAAATAAGGAAGGGTACAATTTTTATTCTGTCGAAGGATGTGTACGAAGTTGAAATGAACTATGCTTAGGGCCCTATTGTCTCTTTCTGGCATTCCTTTGTCTCTAATTTGATAATTCTCTTTCTAACTTCCTCTTCTCCCATATAATGAGCAGGATAGATTGCTCTTGCAAAGGGCTTCTTAAATGGGCTTCTTGAATTAGACTGAATCCTCTGAAATTAAATTGAGGGCTACATATGATCCTGGGGCTGCTGGTTGCCTGTTCATGTTTTTACTAAAGATGTCAAAAATTGCATTTGGGATCTTCTGCTTTCCGAAGAGATCATCTGCTAAACTGGATCATGTGCTACCCCAAAGCCAGTAGCCCTAGCCTTATAGGAGGCTTCTAAATTCCATCTGAACCTCCAGATGGATCCACAGAGCAGATACAAGACCACATTTGTATGGCCTCTTTCTATAATGATAAGTAATACATTTGGAGCTTCAAACAGTGAGTAGTTTCCCTCTCCCAGGAAATATGGATGAGAAGGGATAATAAAACTGGCTGAAAGTGAGTTGGATGTACTGTAATTTTAGCCATTTAGCAAACCTGTATATTCCAGATAGTTATATACAGCATCCTCGTATGATATGTGGATCTCACTGCAAAAGCCTCTGAGGTGCACCTTTGGATTGTACTCACTGACACTGAAATATGGTTACCTCATGTGGCCTAGAGCTGGTCCCACCCTCTCAGTGCTTGGCTATTAGCAAAGTAAGTAGGTGGAGCAATCACTGGTAATTAAAATACATGGTTTGCATGTATATGGACCTAAATTCAGTCTCTAATATCTCCATAGAGAGTTAAAGCTCTGGAGAGAGATTACCTGTTAATATAGCCCAGTTGGGTGGCTCTAGAAATGGAATAAATAAATAAAAATTAGCCATGCTAAAAGAATAAATAGGCTGACTCAATCAATAGCAACTTCCTATCTTCATGTTACACAGTTGCCATGCTTTTTGTATATATGGGTGTGTGCATGTGCAAGTGTGTTCATAAGCGATATTGGCTCATATGATTGTGCATTCATTTCATAGTACAACTAGATTGTGTCACTGATCTTTTCATCTGTAACTCTCTTACACAAGTATAACTGCTAAACATATACATCCAAAACAATAAAAAAGTAATGTAAAGGTGAGATGAAATTGCTGGTCTTCTTTGTATGTGGTGGAGCAGAGACTTGTAAAGCTTGACCATTCCAATGTCTGTATTTCTTTGGGGGGGTATATTCTTCCTGACAATCAGTTGGACAACCTGCTATTTTCCTTATGAAAGAAAGAGTGCATCAGAGATCATCTGTCACCGAGAGTTGGACAGCACACAAGTTTAAACAATTAGTAGTAGAAATAGTAGTAGCAGGTAGTAATCTACAGTTCGATTCACAATCAAAAGACTAATAGAAGTTTGATAACTAAAATCCTAACCATGGAATTAAGAATTATTTAGGTAACAACTGAAAATATAGGTGAAGGGTATTTTGTTGTGGTGGTGGTTGGTTGTATAGTCAGCCAGATGTTTAGACTAGACTCGGCACTTTTATCTACCTATCTTCGCAATATTATCTGATTATGGTAAGTCTAAATCAGTGTTTCTCGACCTTGACAACTTTAAGATGTGTGGATTTCCAGGCTGGCTGGGGAATTCTGGGAGCTGAAATCCATACATCTTAAAGTTGCCAAGGTTGAAAAACGGTGCTCTAGATAAATCACCATTTTGTGGGATTATATGGATTTTACAGAACGTGGCAGCAAAAGTGCTGACAAAAGCCTACTTTTTTCATCATATCTCCCTGAATTCATAAGCATCTTCAAAAGTTCCCACTTTGTTTCTAATTCTAATTCAGAATTCCAGTGGTTTTAGACTGAGCTGGCTAAAGGACCAATGCTTCCCATACCAACCTACTCCCCCCTTAGGATGCTCAGCTGAGTCTTGCTCTACATATGCATAATCAAAAGCAATCCTATCTTGGCAAGTCATTGGCTTAGTTTTCTGCATTTTTTACATTTTTCTACTGCTGTTATTTCTATCCTACTCTGAAGGTTTTTTTTTTATTTTAAACTTGTTTCATTTTCCTATTTCACATACCATTCTGCACCTATGTAACATAATCACTGACTATCTGGACCAAAGAAAGATTCTATGGAATCAGGCTACTGTAATGGCCTATCCAGTCCAGTTTTCTCTGTCACACAGTGACCAACCAGTTCAACCACTTTACAAGCATGGTCAAGAGAGAAATATGCCTTGTCCATTATTATTTCCCAGCAAATGAAAGCTTTCTTCACAGGAGAAAACACTGAATGGAAATACTGATGGGAAGAAAGGAAGCAGCATTACTTTTCAGGCTCTCTGTTGTTACTTTCCCTCACTTTCAATTACTTAAAATCTTAGCCATTGAAATTTTCTAATCTGTATCTAATCTGTTGTTTTGAGGCAGAAAAGCAAACTCTTTAGCCGAGATAAAATCAAGAAGAACCAGGAGGAAAATTTGTCTGGAAATGCTTTTGCAATGCCACATATTTAAACAATCATATAATCAAGCCAAAGAAATGACAAGTTGGATGAGTGACTAGGAACAACCAGATGAAAATTGACTCTGATTTCCCTAAATTCCAATGATGAGTTTCATTGGGGAGGGAGGAAGAGCAATAATGACATTATTCACAATGATGTGAATGATTTCACAATGATGCATTTGTTTTATTTATTTATTTATTTATTTATTTATTTATTTGGCATTTCCTCGATTCTTAAGGGACATGCTAGGATTTATGGGCAAAAGCTTGTAATGTAGTTCTGATTGGTCTTTTGGAAAGCTCCTTTGAACAGAGAAGGATGTGGGGATGGTAGAGGAATGCTTGGCCCTTTCTCCACTGCCTTGTTTTACTCAAAAGCACATCTCCCAGTAAGTTTTACCTCCTCCCTTTCATTTACAAAAAAGATAGATAACCTGTTGAGAACCATATGGAGTTTGGTTCTTACTTTACCGCCAAAGTTAATTAGGACAGTTTTTTTAAAAAGCAAATCCTTATTATCCAGGGTTTTGGTCTGGAGGAGTGAGATAGAACCTAATTCTATTAGATCAGTCTTCCTATTGTGACATATCCTCAAATGTTATTGGAGCTTAGGGGGTTTCTAAATATAGCTGCACAAAACAAAACAAAACAAAACACTATTTTCCTTCTGTGGGCAAGTCACACATATGTTGCTGATTCTCATTTAATGCTGATTCTTTCTTAAATCCATCAGACATTTGCTGATCAACCAGCTCAGTTTGCTTGTTAGCACAAGCTATTTCAATCACAAGGGGAAAAATTTATCCTTTTCTAAACATTAAAGTATTCTGTTTTTATCCTCTAAAGCACTATTTCAAACATCTAGCTCCTCTTTTGTCACGACTGTATTCATTTCATACATTGCAAATAGCAAACCTCAACAATGCAAAACAAAGTGCAAATGAGGTAAATTTATTGGTCTTTAAAGGAAGAGGAAAGCCGTAAGTGAAACAACAACAAACTCTAATCTAAATTTCCTGAATCTAGGAGTTTCTCTGTGTATTGTGTATGGGGGGGGAAGGCAAGATAGCAATTGTAAGTTCTGCTTTTTTGGGGTGTGCATCACAGGCCACTTTGGATCACACAGTGGTGGTCTATCTCGACTTTTTTCTTTTACCACCACCACCTCACCTCCTGAAGATGCCCAATCTGACACTGCTGAACCTGATGAGATTAGAAGTGTCTCAATTTTAATTACAAAAAAAAAGTTTCTAAATTTTTGACCCAGCTCTTCTCAACCTGGTGCCCTTCCAAATTAAGGAGTACATGTGTTAGATCACATTCCCTATGACTCATAATTCCATGATTGGAAGTATGCTGGCTATAAATGATGGGAGTTGTAGCATGTACTATGTTATCTTAGCCTATCTTTAAATAAAAAGATGACCAGCACATCCTGTACTGGAACAGGGCCAGACAACACATAGCCTGTCCTACATATTCAATCATCTTTCTTTAATCTTTAATCTTCAAGGTTATAAGAACATGCTTTGTTTTTCAAATCTTCCCTCCAAGTATCCCAATTTTTTTAAAAAAAAACCTGAATGTTTTATATCCACTTCCTCCTGTGTTGATCACTATTAATTATAATATAATCTTACAGTACCCACCATTGCTTTTGAGTGAAAAGTTATCAGGAAGGAATTTCCTTCCCATATACTTCCTGGAGTATCCCTTATCTACTTACTCTCCAAAAATAATCTTGAGGGGGAAAAATGGCTAATTAAACACACATGCACACAGACACCATTATCAAATCAGATGTATGGAAAGAAAACTATCTGAATAAAAAAAAAATACTGTAATAGAATCACTGAAATAAAATCATAACATTGGAAAAAGTCATTTAGGTCATCAGGTCCGATCCCTGTTCAGTACTGTTCAGTACATATTAAAGCTGTCTAAGAACTACTTGGACACATCTGGTGAGGGAGAGCCAATCATTTCCTGGTTGATTTTAGTATTAAACAATGCTTACAGTGAAGAATGTGTTTATTCTAATATTCATTCAGAATCTAACTTTCTGCAACAAATGCCCATTATTCTGTGTCTTGTACTCTGAAATCATAGAAAAGAGATATTTGGTGACATCTTTTGGAGGTCTTGAAGCATACTATTCTAACTTGCTTCTGTCCTCTGAAAGGTAAATTTGCCCACTTCCTCCTCCATCTTGACACAGGACTTGGTTTCTGGTATAAAGATTTCATGAGAGTTCCCAGGATTTAGGATTCCATTGTTATAGGTGCAAGAATATGGCTATTGTTGATCGCCAAGAGCAGGAAGTAGGGTGCTACTGAAGTATTAACAATACTTTTGAACCCACAGGAAAACAAAGAAAATGAAATTGGAGACATTTGTTAGCTATTAGAGTCTTGGGGCCTATTCTTACTTTCCATATTTGTGAAGTTGCCTTCATCCCAAACCTATTTTGTCCCTAGTGGGGCAAGGTTAGATCATTCTTTTATATAAAAACATTAAAATAGCATTTCCACTCTTACTCCAATGTTCTAAGCAATGTTCAAGATATGTAAAACTGATTAGGTTATATCACCCCCTTATCTAAAGGGAAGTCAGGGAATTGCAGTCACTTGAAAAAGAGGCAAAAAGGAGAAGAGCAATTTTCTACAACTTTGTCTTGATTATTGTCAATCTTCAGGGAAATTGAAGAAATTCCGGTAACTAACACTGGGATGAAGACAAGATTTTATTTGTATTGGGTTGTATTTGTTGCATGTTCCCGTCTAATATAAAACATCCGTGGGTACACAATACCTTCTTATTCTCATCAGCATTGAATTCTTTGGCACCCTTCTAGTGAGAATTGTCTTCCTCGGAGAGAACAGCAACATGTTTCATGAAAATGTATTTGACAAAATTTTGAAGCAGGTCAGTTTTTGGATAGGAGCATGCAAGCTCTCCATCCCTCACTGCTGGAGGCCTCTGAAATGTAATCTCAGCCTTTCAAAACTATCCCACAATATTTGCCACCCACTCCGGCCTGCCGGGCCAGAGAGACGCCATGAGAGCTGAGGTCTACTCAGAGGGTGGAATTAAAACAAAGCATCTCCTCCCCCTTTCTCCAAACATACACAAATACTGCTGTACTTCCAGATAAAACACTGTGGAAAATAGCTAGGGTGCTGACTGCTTTCAAATCAAATTAAGGGTTGACTAAAACCACAAATCCCCTGAGATCTGGAAAAGAGTGATCAGGCAAGGAGGAGTGGGTGTATTGTTTGCCTTCCATTCTCTGTAGATCAACCAGCTTCACATAAAAGGAGGTTTCCTAAGGCAAAATAGCAAGACTTCATAAAGGAGGCAGGAACCCAGTGGGCTCCCCAGGCCAAGCTCTACAGCTTTTAACTGGACTATAAGATGACCATAAGGAAAGCTGAGAAGGGGAGGAGGAAAAGAAAAAGTCCACCTAGTCATAGACATTCATTGTAATTTTGGAAATTTTTATTTATTTATTTAAAGAAAATTTATATGGCTGCCCAATTCACTCTTGGTGACTCTGGGCAGCTTACAAGGATAAAACTCTAATGTGAAAAGCAATAACAACCACCACCACCCCAGCAACAACTATTAGA